CCTTTTTTGACTTTTTTATTTTAATATGAAATCAGCATAGCTGATTATAACTATTATATGAATATCATGGTGCGTCCCTACCTGGAACATGGTTAAAACAAATGTCGAAATGCGAATCATCTAACTTTTAAATGTTTGGGTATTTTGCACCATTTTTTCTAGTTTTTTATTACAAATATATGATCAAGAACACTGAATTATATAAAAAACAAATCTAGATAACATAATTCTAACTCTTATTCATGAATCTTTTACGTTCCTCTATCCTTAAATTCCTTTGTTTTTTTCGTATATATCTTTCGAACGGTAACTCTGACAAAAAAATTATTTATATTATTGAACTCAGCATAAAAAAATACATAAGAAAAATTAGTTTGAAAGTGTTCTGCATTTGGGCACTTTTCCCTATTCATTTTGACATCCTCCTTATGAAAATGATGATTAGCAAAAGAGATACAAGAAATGCGGAGGAAAAGGAGAAGTTATTTTGACGGCCAAGAAAAATGGTAAGAAAAAACAGGCGAGCAAAAAATGTAAACCTAAGGGGATATAATCATTGATTGGGTATTTTATGAGCATCAATCAGAGATGAGAGAAAAAAATATATAATGTTATTCATCATTTTAAGGGTAAAAATACAAAAAAAGGTAGAGTAGAAAAAGGGAAAGAAGAGTAACAAAAAAATATATAAGCAAGACAAAATCAGGAAAAGGGCAATCATCCTCAAGAGATTTTGAGTAACTTGCTCTTTTTTCATCATAATTTTTGAGATTTTTCATCCTCTTTCTTTTGTTCTTTACCATCACAATCATCACTATCATCATCATAGTCATCATCATCAGGATGGCACAAAAGTAACAATAAAGTAACTTCTTTTAATAGAGACTCTTGTCACAAACTTGTCAGACTTTTTTGCCTTTTCATCTCTTGCTATTTCCACTATTTATACCGTTTCTGCTATTTCCACTATTTATACCGTTTCTGCTATTTTCACTATCATTTTATGCCTTTCTAATGTAGCATAAAAAGCAGGAAAACATAAAAGAGGTAAAATGAACAATTGGCATAAAAAGCATCAAATGTGTAATCAAAAGCTTACTGTTTTTGTTAACCAATTTAATCTTTAACCAGGACCAATCAATGTAATCATCTTTTCTTTATTTTTATTACCTGACACATCTATCAACAACAACATTTTCACCTGGAATTACCATCAAGTATCATTATTATCATCATCATACACTTTAACTCACCAAGTAAGTTAAACTCTTTTCCTTACATGGTTTATTTAACCATCTTTTTCCCTCTATCGTTTTTTGCTCCTATTTAGTTTACTTCTTATGCCATCTCATCAACCATGCTTTCAACATTTATCCCTTCAATCTATACTAAAGTTTCCTGATAAATTATTAAATAATAAAAGATCAAAATAGGAGCTGATAAAACTGATAGTTCAATCAGCAATGCTCAAGTTAAGTAGCTTTACAGTCATCATTATTTCTCTCTTTTCCTCTATCTTGTTAATTCCTTCATCTCATCTTCTCATTTGCTTTTAGTCTTTTGTCTAAAAGTGATTAAAAGCCATGCTGTCAACCCCTAAAGATTGTAATTTTCTTCTTTATTCATCTTTCCTTTCCTTCTATTTCTCTCCCCATTTAGATTCAATCCAAATGAGATAAGATCTGTTTGATGTGCGTCAAAGTCAATCAATAATTTTCATTTATATCGTAATGGCCACCACCAGAAGGGATACACAACCAAGCAGAAAGAGAAACGTGAAACATCAACAGTTGAATGCAACTGTCAAAATGAGTCAAATGAAAGAAACAAGCGTTCACATCATCACATCAAGTTAGACTACCTTAGCGGTAAAGCAAAATCCATTCTTTCGGCACAATCAAATAATTTCAACGATCAAAGATTCATAGATCACAAAAATATTCACCAGTGGATAACAAGGATCACAAACCTCTTCAAGTGTAAAAAAGGGAAATCAACATCTACTTTCGACAACACACGACACAAGAAAAAAAGAAATAAAGTATTAGATGCCTGAAAACACATGACATGAGAATGTTGGATAACTGTCTCTCTTTCTCTGTCTACCTTGGAATAAGGAGGTTTCTCTTTGCGGCTTTTTCATCCTGATAATATGCAAACATTTTCCCTCTTCTCTTAATGGAGATGAACTTTACAATGTTGATGGTTAAAATAAGAGAAGGAGATTTGCAAGCTAAAAACAGCAAAAAGAGCAATTGACGAAAAATATTGTACATTTTCATCAGATTGTTTATGGACCAGTGGTGCTTTCAGGATAAATTGGCAAAATGAGATTGTGGACGCTGATCAAAGAGGATTAATTCTTTAAGAAAGGAGGATTATTTAGTGGCAATGGAACCAGTAAAGTGCCCAAAATGTCTCTCAGATTCACAGCTCAATTGACTAGACTTTTTATTTCTTTCCTCTCTCATTTTCCGTTACTTGATTTACCACTACCTTAAATTTTCTTTCTCTCTTCCTTTCCATTTCTTCCTTATCTTGCTCTCACTCTAACCATTTTCAAAGCTAACTGTAGTTAAGCTCATAAAGAGTGTCAATCTTTTCCTTTTTTTATGTTTATATGTATGACTGTGTGTTTGTCAAATTTTATCAATTCCATCTTGAGTCGAGTATTATATAAACATATTCAGATTTAGTCTAATCATTAGTTTACATCATTTTAGTGGAAGGAGAAAAAAAACTTCTCTTAAAATTCATCGTTTTCTTTTTTCTCCCTTTCCTTTTCAAATGATAAAAATCAGCATCAAAAGCAAATATGACAGGAAACTATTTCCATCAAAAATGTCAACATCAACCTGTAGGATTTGACTCATTATAAAAGCTCATCACCAGTAATTATCTTTCCTAGACAAATTCAATTCATTTTGGCTCTTACTTTCAAAATCAAATTTTACGATTTATCCAACGACACAAATATACATATAAATATAAAAAATAGACTTGATTGCGATGAAATTAAAGCAAGAAAAGGTTAAATCAAATTTGAGGTAAGGTAATGAAAGTGGAGGAGGATTGAAAAACATTTAAAAGACTAAACAATGAAAGTTTTAAATTGTTAGAGAAAACAGTTTTTCATGTTGAATCTGTGACACAAATGATACATACCTAAGGCTATGCATAAATAGAAGTAGAAAGTTAAAGTGGATGCAAATTTTATTTGAAACAAAAGATGCTCCTGAAAAGATTGAAAAAGACAAAGATAAAGCCAAGGAAGAGCAAAAAAAGGCAAGTTATAAAAAAATAACAGAAATGAATGAATAAACAAACAGATGAGAATGATTAATAGCAACAGATTGTCTGAAATAGCAATGAATCTTCAACAGATTTGTGTGAATGTCACTAAATATTCACAGTAAGATAGATAACATTTATTGAAGGGAAGCACGATAAGGTTAGCAAATCTCATTGACTTTCCTTTTCTTTACATTTTTCATGATAAACCATCAATTTTTTCCCTCTCACAGTTTCTTCTTTATCATCAGTCCTAATTCAGGGTAAAATTTATTATCAAAAACAAAACCTTGTTATCCAATGTTTCCAGTTGTTAGTCAGGGAAACATTGAAATGATGTTTTTTGTCCATCAAAATAGCATCGAGAAAAAACAATAAATCATTGTTGATCAAAATATTGTCTTGAAGCTTAAAAACTTGTTAACTTCAAGTCAAACAAATTAGGTTACAATTTACCCATTCATTGCCAATTTGAAGCTTTAATCATAACATAAATTGTTCATTTTCAGTAATCATTCTGTTTGAATTGAACAGTTACAGAAATCATTTCAATTAGATTTTCTGAGGATAACTTTTTTCCAGTTTCACCTTAATTATTTAAATAGTTGACAGGGAAAAGAATGCAAAAGTTCCCATTTTTGTAACTGAATTAAATGAAGAAACAAACAGAAGAAAAAAACATTTCTCAATTTAAACTAATTTTATTCCAATCTCATTTAACTTGATAATCTCACAGGAATAGTACAGATTGTCATTGTAATCTAGCAATCCTTTACAGTCAAAATGAAGCAAACTAAATCCAAGTGAAAGTAATAGAAATGGAAGAAAAAAATTCGTTGAAAAAAGAATTGAAAAGCCGAAAAAAATGATTAAAATAACAATAATCTCCACTCTTGACCAATTCTTGAACATTATTCAGCCACCAAATGATTTAATCAAACAAATTTCAACCTCAAGGTAAAGTTGATCATATTTTTGATTTGCTTTGCCAACTAAATCCTCCAACACCCACAATAGTCAAATTTTAAGGTTATTTTGAAAATTGTTGATTCCATTTTTTGATTGTTTGTTTAGATTTTTAATCGATAATTTATTCACTTTTTTTTTCTTATAGGTTTTCATTTAAAGCATTACAATCAACTTCATTTACACATTCATTGGAATGGAAAGGCTTGAATGGATGGAAAATACAATTGCAAGGTGAAAAAGGCAAAAGAATAAGTTATTTTCACGATTCTTTGATTCCCTCTTTTGATTGGTGAACAATAAACACATAGCCTTTCTTTGTTCTGATTCATCGTTCACCAGAATCTCCCATGAGATAAGTCAACTTCCCGCTCACTCATTTCCTCTCTAACATTCTGTCTTCATCTCTTCCATGTCATTCCACCAATTTCAGAATAATTTTACCTCCCTATAACACTTTTATCAATCTTCATCACACACATCATATTTTGTTCGTCTTTAAACTTATTTTTTCTTCTCTCGCTTTTCTTTTCACCAGATCAACACTGATTTTGCCTATTGCCTTCTCTCCTGATTTATCTGCCCATCTTCATGGTGCTTCTTCATGTTTTCCTCCTGTTTTTGTTTTCCTGATCACCTTAACCAATTGATCCGAAGAAAAGCAAGTCCAATAAAAATGCAATGAATCTCAAACTCTAACGACCCATAAACCGATAAAAATAAACTTGACAAGGATAAACATGGCTGGTGAATGTGATGCTTTTTGGGAAACAAAATGAAATCAAATGGAGAAACAAAACAGCGGACTTTTATTCACTACTATAATAATCGTAATAATCATTCTGATAATAACAACAACAATAATAATGTAATGCCAAGTAAGCCTATAAAAATATCCTGTTTATGATGAAAAGTTGAAGGAAACAAAAAAAAAGGTTTGGTGTTGATAAGGAATGGCAAAAGTCTACAGAAAGGGAAACATGATGATGATGAACATGGAAAAGATGCGCAAAAAAATATTTTGTCAAAACACAATTGTAAAGCTGCTTTGAATTATGTTAATGGAAAAGTGGAATCCAAAGGAAAAGCTTTAAAAGATACACAAAATGGATACACACAAGAAAAGAAAAGCAAATCAAGGGAAACAAAATTCAAGATGAGATGACATTTTCATTATAAATACTAAAATATGAAAATCGAAAATGGAAAGAATCGAAAAAATGTTGGACTGGAAATTTACGACTAAATAGACAACACGGTAAACACACTCACACATAAGGTTCAATTACATTAAATTGGTGATGATAATAATGGATGGAAACATTTGTTAACAAACAACAAGCAAACCCTGTTGACTGAATACAAGTGGTGAAAACAAGGCGCAAATCAACATGTTCAAGTGCATGTTAGTCAAAAGAGTTGGTGTTGTCAGTTGAAGATGAACAAAGATGAGTCTTTGTCATTGATTGCCTTGTCAAGAGCCTTTTCAATATCATCCTCTTATCCATGCAAATAGCCCTTGTAAAACTGGCTAATAATGGTAATACAATTTTGGATACAAATGAATGGAGTTACGTTACAGGCAGTTCAAGTTAATCGCTCTAATTTACCAAATTTTATTGTGTTTATCGTTTCCACTCATCATCATCAATGCATCTCAAAGTAGACCAACACGCGATCAAAGTATTTATCATCATTTTAATGGCGGCCAAACACGAGATGTTCAATGAATCTGCAGTCTTGTCCTCATTCAATTTTCAACTCATCACCATTCCATACATTTAAATATTCAATATTTTCCTATTATCTTGGCAAACAAATAATTGTTGCACATTATCCAGATCAATATCAACCTTTTGGTTAATTGAATCAATCAAGTAATTGACCGAAATCCCGTTTCGCCAGTTTAATCAACTAACATCCAGATATAAATTATAATAAAAGTGGACAAAAAAAGGAAAACTGTTTTTTTCGCTTTTTATCAAATTCATGTCACCCAAACTTTTCAATTGGCTCTTCGTCAAACTTCACATTATAATACAATCAGATGGAATGAAATTTTATCAGCAACACACAAAAAAAGAGAAGAAAAAGTTCACCAAGAAAAAAGCTCCAATGAATCTGAATGGAAAGCTGAATGTGTTCTGAATATTAACCTTTTCACTTTTTGTGATCAACTTTCATTATTATTGCTATTATTATTATATATTGCCATCCAAAAACCTCCGAAGTATCATCAAAATACAGTCTATTCAAGCATTACTTTAAAGAATCTAAAAAAAGTTAAATGTTTCTCCATTCTTTTCCTTTTCATATTATTATCAATTGAATATTATTTCATCAAATTCACCTTCAAGCCATCAAAACAACCCAAAGAGAAACAGAAGTTCAAGAGTTTTTCATCCTTCATTGAGACAGAATTTACAGTTACAATTCACAATATCTTCATTCACTTCTCATCAATTCATTTCATCTTCAAAATTCTCATATCAATCTTCAACAAGGAAAAAGCAAAGAACCAAAGAAAGCAAAAAAAAGACTAACAGTAAATAGATTACGTTCAATTGTTTCCATTGGCATAATATCAAATTTAAAAGCTTGTTTCTGAAACTCTTCGCATCTTAATGCTTCTCCTCATCATCATCATCATCTTACCATAAACAGTCCCAAGAACAAAGGAATTAATCTCAAGAGTATTTCCATCAATAGAAGCATACAAATTCAGATATCTTCTCTGGATCCTAACTCATCTTCCATCATGCTAATAAGCCATACTGACTTGAAAGTAAAAATTTATATTTCCATCAAATATTGGAATAATGTTTCACTTACGGATCAAAAAAAGAGCCAAAAAACCTCTGAATAATATTCTGGAAACTAATTAATATTGATAAATCAAAAAGTGTTTCAAAAAATGTGATTCAATGAAAGGTAAAAAGCAAGTTGAAAGGGAAGAAAGGTTCTGAAGCAAATTTTAAGTAAATTTCAATGTCTCAACCAACCAAGTAAACCAAGTTAAAATGGTATTGACTTGGTTTCCTTCAGTAAAATGAATTTCAAATTTAATTTGACTGTTTCGTTTTTTTCACTGACAAAGTCTAGACTTTTTTTTCACAAAAGCAAAAACTGAATTTGCATAATTCAATGAGAGTGAAAATGTTATCAACATCATGTTCCTATCATCAACATCACCATCCTCAAAGCCTATGAAGTACAACAAGATCCGGAAAATGTGAGGAAAAAAGTCGAAACCAGGAAAACCATTGAAACCATTTGGCACCCTTTCCAACCAACAAGCATCAACAGTTAATCAAGTCTAATTAACTTATCAACTTCAAACTTGTCATTTTTATGTAAATTTATTTCTCACCAAAGGCAACAATTTAACCAGATACATTCAAAGATATCATTCCAAGTCCCTGTTAATCGAACATATAAAATTCCAAAATCTTCAGCAACTCGGAATATTTCCTTCTCTAAGCCTCTCAACTGACCTCAACCAAGTTGACCAGAAAACCCGAGTTTTGGTTTCTCTGTTTCCAGTTAACATCAAAATGGATTGGCAAAAATATTGGAAACAAATGTTCCAACATTGATTGTTTTTTCCCTGAAAGATGAAACATTTTGATTGATGATTCTCTCAATGTTAACTAAAAGACTGATCAATTTATTCAGTTACATGATTACATCCAAATACAGATATAACTAAATGCATGAAACAAAAAAAATGTTAATATCTTTGCTTATATTCATAGTTAAATATTCAATAACTTTCATTCATTATGCATATTAGTTCATCTTTTATGGTTCCTCTGTTTTTTTCAAAATTTGCCTTTATTTGCCTTCCATCATCAGAATATATCTTTAATTAACTTTATCTAATTTAACTCACAAAATTAACTTGAAAAGAAGAAGCAAAAAAGGAATACTTTTTGTCCATTAGCATCTTGTAAAGACAAAATGACTGGGAGTTAAAAAAGGTAACTCGGCTAAAGACAAATACTAATGAATTCAAATTTACCTTTTAATACAAAATTCATCTCAATTTGGATAAAAACTAATCAAAGTCCCGATGGAGGTCTACACACACACATGCAATGCCCATTGGTCATCATCATGAAGTACTGAGCAATAAGTGAAAAACTTACAGTAAAAGCAACAATTGTTGAGATACAATTTAAATATTAATAACTGCAATCATAATGGCTATAACTAGCCAAGTCTCATCTTAATATAAAATTCAATTATATTTAATTGTAATAAGTTCAATAATGATCACCATTATCATCATGGCAGTAAATTAGAAAGGTTTGAGTAAAAAAAAGGATTGGATAAAGTCGTTTGGCGATTGTTGGCTTTTGCCCAAATTGTTTAATCAACTTGAAAGGTGAAATTAATTCAAATCTTACCTGAAATCTTCTCATATCACGAGGGTTTCCAGCATTTTTTAAACAATTTTGGTTACATTTGAGGAAAAATTTGAGATAAAATCTGAAATGAAAAGAATATAAAATTAATAATTAAAAATATGATCCATCAATTGTAAAGGTTTCAAGACGATGAAAAGGTAAACGGAAAAAGACTGAAAAGACTGAAACAATCTCATGAGAATCATGACAACAGAAAGGCTAAAAAAGTAAACTTTATTAACAACAATGTGAACAATTTATAAATTTGCAGATTTAATTGCCATTAAAATGCATTTGATTACAAAAAACAAATGTAAAACGAAACCATTAAAGCTCAATAATGGAAGGCGAAAAAAAGTACAAATTCATTTCAAATTAACAGATCGATATCATTAACTCTGATAATGATAATGTTCATGATGATGATGATGAAAAATGGTAGGTCATCTCACCTCTAAAGGAAGATTAAATAGCAAGGGAAAGAGCAATTTGAGTTGAATCTTCTTCATCGGTAGACTTAATTAGTTCATCTAAACTAATGTGTAACAAGATCGCCATCATTTGCATCTTGATTGCAACTGCAAACTCATCATACTCATCATCATCATCATCATCATCATGGTCTTCATCAAAATCATCTTCATAAACATTTTGGAATAAAATTTTTTTTCTCTTTTCTGTTTCGCTTTTTTGACCCACTTTGCAACATGCATTTTCATCCTCATCTTTGCACATATAATTATCATGATAAAAATCACGTGAGTTACTTACATTTAGACCCTATAATTGGATAGTAAATTGTTGACTATTCAGTTCTGTTATAGGATTCAATTCTGATTCAGTGATTCTAATTATTCTGGCAACTTTGAGCAGCCAAGTCTCAACCAATATACAGCCATAAATAGTGTTTATCAATTGAACAAAATATCATTTCATTCAATTGATAATTTATATACTAAATATTATTGTTGTTATTAACCATTAACAGAAACAAGGTGAATCTGTTTTAATCAAGAAAACAAAAATATTTGCTTCTTCTTCTTTTTTTTTCGTTCATCTTTACATCTCAAAGGAACCATTAAAAGACAAAAGATGATGAGAAATAAGCTGTTTCAAGATGAACATCATCATGAAAGAAGAGGAACAAGAACAAGTTATTCATATTCGCATTTCTAATATCAACTCAGATTAAGGATAAAACATGAGATAATAATAGTAATAATAATTTTTCCAGTCAAAATACGAAATCTGTTAAATTATACTGAAAATATCATGAAAATGGTATCAACAAAAAGAGATGCATAAGCATCAAATAATTGCACCCAAAAGAGTTATTCATCGCAATGCATTACATTTACAGACATTAACCATTCTATTGTTATTAACATTGATTGTTATTGAGCAAAAATTGATTACAATTTGTCACCTTTTGCCAGATAAATGAGCAGAATGAGTTGAAAAATCATTTCATTCAAAAATCACAATTCAAGGAAAAGACGAGATAATTAATTCTGTTGTTCAGTTAATTAAACATGTAAACAAATGAGTTCAAGGGTTGTAATGATACTGTCAACATTGACTCAAGATCACTAAACAAAGTCAATAAGTTGATTAATCAAATTAAATTCAAAGTTTCCTTTGATACTTTACTGAAACAAAAACCTAAAATGAAATTAAAATCAAAATCAAAATCAAATGAATCTAACCTTAAAAACCAGAAATTCATTTTCTTCAAAGAACATCGAGATTTTTCTGAAAATTCTGATAAATCTTTTTTCCTCTTCTTCTTCAACATTAAATTTTCTGTTTGAAATTTTCTTTAGTAATCTTGATATTTGTGATTCTGTTTCATTTCATGCTCGTGTTAATCTGATGTTGTTTCATGCAAAATGTAACTCAACACATTGGAATAGATCAAGGTGAGTAATCTGTTGAAGTAAAGCAAATTAACAGGATTGATGTGAAGACAGAAACAAATGAAATAAAAAGACTTAACAAGTTATTACATTAAACTGTTTACAGTGAACTGGAATAAGTCCATTTATATTAATACATTATAATGCATTAAAACAGGTAACAGTGTTCAAGATATAATACAATAAAAGCAAATTGAACAACAATTGGAAACTTCAATAAGACAATGAATGAGTTTATCCATTAATGTAATAAACTGTACAAACAAATAAATAAAACAACAGTAAACGTTAACATTTAAAGTAAATTGTTTCAGTTTACAGTTTCACTTCATTTTTCAAACATGAAATATTAACCATTTTGTTTCCCTGCCACTGAAACCTTTAATTGATTAAAAATTCAGTTGAAATGGGCTTATAAGATGATGGACAAGGTTGAGATGAAAAGCTGTTGATTGAGTTACATTTTTCATTCAACCAAAGCCAATAAAAAACAAAATTATGATAAAATCGTTTCACATTTCAATGAGCGTAATATTGATAAACATTCATTGTTATATTTTATTCATTGCCTGTAAATAAGTTGAAACATCATTCAGTGAAACGTCAACAGATTGTTAAACTTTTAAACAGATTCACTTGGCATCAGTTTATCTTCAAACATCATCAATAAGCCTCTTACCGACACGTGAACATGATGATAATGATGATGATTAGAGGACAAAAAGATGTTATCATTTTGAATGAAAGAAGAGAAAAGCATTTTTTCGAGAAAAAAAATTCTCCCAAAATATTGAGATTCACTTTTAATTTCATGATCGAGTCGCTTCGAATTGCAATGAAAAGAAAAAGTTTTAGATTAAAATTCGAGTTTCATTTGAATTTCCATTTCAGTTGAAACCGAATTCATTTGAGGCTGAAATGACCTTTGTTCTGAAATCGATTTCTCGAATGTAATTTATCGCTTTCGAAGAAATTTCATCAAAATTTTGACGAGAAAATTTCCAAATTTCAATTTCGATCGAAATGAATCTGAATCGAAAAATTGAGAGAACAGTTTTTTATGGTTCGAAATTGATTCTCATAAGATTGTGAGAAATGAATAGTTAATCTCAATGAACTTGTCTTGGAATAAATTATAAATTGGAAAATCGAAAATGTTCAAAGTTCCAAAATTTCAATGATTTCATGCTATTTCGTGTTATAAATTTGTTCAAAATGTTGCTCATATTTTTGACTGAAATGAAGGAAAGAAAAGGATAAAAATTCAATTTCTATCTCTTGCTGTGCAACAAATGTCCATCCATTGAATAATTCATCATCAGATTGAAATTATTTATATGTTAATATCAATTTCAATTACAAATAGCAATAAGAATCAATAAGTTGGTTCATCAAAAGTATCATTATTATATTAAAGTTACCATCATCATCTTAATAACTATTCACATAATCAGCAAAAGTGACTTTCAAACAAAATATGACTTCTGTCTTCTGTAGTTGACTGGTTATCACTATCATTATATTTTTATATTATTACCTGATCAAGTAATGGTTGGTCAAGCATCGCCGTCAGTAGAGCATAAAGGTTAACAATAATGGCGATCACAAACCATTTTTACATTCATCATGATAATGAAATAAAATGATCCAATCGAGTAAAACAAAAGTCCAAAGTCAACTCAGTTTCCAATTCAAATTTTTCTAAATTTCAACATTCGATCAGAGTTTAGTTTCCATATTTCAAAACCCGAATCCTGACTTCGAAATGTTCAAATCTCTCTTTTTGAGTTTCTAACGAAAACGCTTTCACTTGGATTTCAATCTCAAGTCTCGAAGTTTTGACTTTTTTGTCTTCGATTTTCGAGGTTTTGATTTTGCGATTTTCGGGTTCTTCTGCTTTTGGTGTTTGTTTCGGTTTTGGTTTGTTTTCATTGAAAGGAATCATCTATGTAAAGTTGAACGGAAAACAAAAGGATTAAGCGGTTTTACATTATAAATCCACTTGTTTATTTGTCGTTGAAGTTAATCTCGTCTTTCATGACAATTCTCGAGTCATGAGATAATGATTGATGATGATTATCTCATCATCTTGGACAAGTGTCTGTCAAAAGTCGGTTTCTTGTCAGTTTCTTCTTGACCGAAACGTAATTCAACTTTTCGTTTTTGCGCCAAAAAAGCAAAGGTTGAATAAGATGATCCTTCAAAGATGAATAGACATCTCAAACAGGACACATCACAATCACCCTGACTGACCATACACACATGATAATCATTAAAACATTAATAGTCATTATCATTAACACACATTAGTGACAGAAGAGCCACAAAAAATTAACAATAATTGTTTAACTGAAAATGTTGAAGCAAAGGTTCACCAAGAAAAATGTTCAACTTGAAGCTGATGAATTAATATAATCAATGGATGTACCTTTTGTTTTCTGGTTAATCATCATTACGGTAAGGTAAAGGTTCACTTTTTGAAAGGTAATTTTAAAGATAATCCTTTTTGACCCTTAAATTATCCATAACAAGAGTAAAAAACGTGAAAGATTAGCCTTTTCAAGGACAGAAAGGTCAACAAAAAATGTCCAAATGTCCAGGAAACAGGTAAAGAGTAATTGTTATAGTAAAGTTGAAATTCAAGTAAAACCAGAATCACTAATTACCAGAGAAGAGGGAAGATATTCATTTTGTTTCTTTACCTTTCAACGATTTTATTGAGTTTTCATTTTTATGGACATCTCAATTGGCTAGTAAAATGGCCATTCAAATGGGTCAATATAAAGTTCAATGAAAGCCTCGAAAAGGTTAATTCAATTTAACAGTCAATTCAAAATGAAAACCCAAATTCAATGTAAACTAAAAAACCTTTTATCAAGTCTCAACATGTTGGAGGGAAACAAAACCATTGCTTAAAATGTTGATTAAAGGTTGATATTGACCAGAAAATAAATAGAGAATAAGAACAACAATTAAAATATAAATTCTTGAACAACTGAATTAATCGTTATCCATAAAGATCGAACAGAATTAAATAATCATTTTGATCAACCTTCTAATGACCATTTTAAGCAATGGTTTTGTTTGATACCAACACGGACCTTTCATATGAAAAGCTGAGGACTTTTGGGTTTTGCATATTGAGTTTGTATCTTTTCAATCTCGT